GACACAATTCAGGCCCCTCTGCCTAGGGAATGCTACTTCCCACAATGGACTAAATCTGTTGGGACTAAAACACCAGGCTGACCCTGCCCCCTGACAACGGGAGGGACACACACAGTGACATGCCACCGTCATCATCGCCACTTTACTCATTATGCAGTACCAACCTTCCTGAATGCAGGAGCTCCCCCTTATAAGCCTGCAGCATTATCCATGCTCTCTTCTGTTTCTGGTTGGTCGACCACTCCCCCACCCCCCTTTCCTCTCTCCTCTCTGCTCTGTTCTTGTCTCTTCTCCCACCTGTAATAAACTTTATGTTTAATGTACATAAACAGTTCATGTTCCATCATGCCGGCGCCGGTCCCATCTCGCAGCTTATTTTTCTAATTTTTAAACTTTTACAAAATCACAATAGAGTCAGTTAGCTTAATTAAGATAATCCCTGATAAACATACCCATAGGTAGATAGTATTTATTGAAATGCTCTTTCCAAGTGAATCTAGATTGTGTCAAGTTGACAATTAAAGTTAATCTTCACACTTGGTTCAAAAACAAGGGGAGGGGGAGTGTGAGAGCCTAAGGAATGACACCTGAGGTTGTCCTCTGGCCTCTTATACACATGCACACAAGTGCAGATGCACAGACATACACACACATTCACATACATGCCTCTACACACACACACACATTCATACACATATAACACTCACACACATACTTCAGGAAGCTATGTTAAAAGAAATACTGAATTATACTGTAATCATCAAAATGCTAGTGAGGTTCCGCTAGAGAGAAGCAGTCAGTTGCCCCCATGTGCTCTGGTGAGAGCTGGGAGCAACTTCCAGAGGTGCAGTACACTGAGAGAACTGCACAGCCAAGGATTAGGTGTGGGGAGGGCCGATGCCAGCCAAAGGCTGCAGAGCATGCCAGGGGCTCATAATGCATGCACAGCTCCCACCACCTCACTGAACTAGGAAGGAGAGTGGGTACCAGGACTGGAAACATAGATAGCCCTGGAAAATAGATCAACACAGTGAGATATTCTTGCTGTTTTTTTTTTAAGGGACCATTTTTGTCTAATATTATCTGTTATCTGTCTAATACTGTTATCTAATGGGTCATTCATAACATTGACCCATTAAAATTAAATAATGGGATAACTTTCACAAAAGAGATCTGGGAGAGACACCGTGATCCATCATGACACATGATCAAATATGACCAGCTTTAAAACCAACAAGTAACACATTCAACACCCACCACCACCACCTAAGACAGGAAAACGCAATATGGGGAAGGAGCTAAATTTAGAAACCTAGGGCAGTGTGTGCTGGATTGGGACTAACAGGGTCTCATGGCTCTAGAAACAAACAAACACCAGCTTCAGCGAAAGGACACAAATAAAAACCAGGAAGTGATACTGTACAGCCTCACACTTGACCCTAGGCAGATATATAAAAGCCCCAGACTCAGGAAGTTCCATACCTAACACACCTCCCTCTCCACCAGACCTACTCTGACTTACTCCATCCTCAACCCAACACCAGAACCATGAGCTGCTGTGGCTGTTCCGGAGGCTGTGGCTCCAGCTGTGGGGGCTGTGGCTCCAGCTGCTGCAAACCTGTGTGCTGCTGCAAGCCTGTGTGCTGCTGTGTGCCTGCCTGTTCCTGC